GTGTATGGGGTGTGTGGGGTGTATGGGGTGTGGGGTATATGGGGTATATGGGGTATGGGATGTGGGGTGTGGGGTATATGGGATATGGGGTATGGGATGTGGGGTATATGGGTTATGGGATGTGGGGTATATGGGGTATATGGGGTATATGGGGTATATGGGGTATGGGGTGTGGGGGGTGTGGAGTGTGGGGTATATGGGATATGGGGTGTGGGGGGTGTGGGGTATATGGGATATGGGGTATGGGGTATAGGGTATGTGGGATGTATGGAATATGGGGCGTGGGGTATAGGGTGTATGGGGTATGGGGTGTATGGGGTATGGGGTATATGGGGTATGGGGTATAGGGTATATATGGGGTGTGGGGCGTGGGGTATATGGGGTATATGGGGTATATGGGGTGTGGGGGTATGGGGTGTGGGGTGTGGGGTATGGGATATGGGGTGTGGGGTATGGGGGGCGTGGGGGGGTGTGGGGGGTGTGGGGGGTGGGGTTATTATGAGATATGGGGTGTGGGGTGTATGGGGTATGGGGTATAGGGTATAGGGGGTATGGAGTGTGGGGTATGGGGTATATGGGTATATGGGGTGGGGTGTATGGGGTGTGGGTGTGGGGTATGGGGTATGGGGTGTGTGGGGTATGGGGTATATGGGGTGTATGGGGTGTGGGATATATGGGGTATGGGGTGTGGGGTATGGGGTATATGGGGTAAGGGGTATGGGGTATAGGGGGTATATGGGGTAAGGGGTATGGGGTATAGGGGGTATGGGGTATATGGGGTATATGGGGTGTGGGGTATATGGAGTATGGGGTGTGGGGTATGGGGTATATGGGATGTGGGGTATATGGGGTATGTGGTGTGGTGTATATGAGGCATGGGGTATATGGGGTAAGGGGTATATGGAATATGGGGTGTGGGGTATGTGGGGTATGGGGTATATGGGGTATGGGGTGTATGGGGTGTGGGATATGGCGTATATGGGGTATGGGATATGGGGTATGGGAATGGGACGGGATATGGGTTATATGGGATATATGAGAATGGGACTGGCATTGGGCCTGGGAGTCACAAGGGGTCCGGAGGGGTCCCAGTGCCCCCCACTCACCGATCACCGGCTGCCCCCCATCGTACTTGGGGGGGTCCCAGCTCAGCGAGGCCCAGTCCTCACCCACGGCCGTGACCCGGACGTTCTCGGGGGGGTCGGGGACATCTGGGGGCAAGGGGGGAGATGGGGGGGGGGGCCAAAGATGCTGCCCTGATCCCATCCCCCCCATCCCCACCCCACCCCCACCCCATTCCCACCCCCTCCCCACCCCATCCCAACCCAACCCCATCCCCATCCCACCCCAGAGCATCCTCATCCCCCCCCATCCCCACCCCATCCCCACCCCACCCCCATCCCCCCCCCCCCACCCCATCCCCACCCAACCCCCATCCCATCCCCATCCCCATCCCCACCCCCACCCCACCCACATCCCATCCCCACCCCACCCCCACCCACGTCCCATCCCCACCCCCATCCCCATCATCCCCATCCCATCTCCATCCCCACCCCACCCACCCCATCCCCCCCCATCCCCCCCCCCCCCCCCCATCCCCCCCCACCCCCACCCCACTCCACCCCACCCCATCCCGACCCCACCCCATCCCAATCCCACCCCATAGCATCCCCATCCCCCCCATCCCCACCCCCCCATTCCCACCCCATCCCCACATCCCCACCCCATCCCCACCCCCCCCACCCCATTCCGATCTCCACCCCACCCCACCCACCCCACCCCATCCCCACCCCATCTCCACCCCACCCCCACCCCCCCCCAGGGGTAAACCCACCCCATCCCCACCCCATCCCCCCACCCCACCCCACCCCCCCCCCCCCACCCCCCCCCCCCCCGTTCCTCACCCACGACGCGGATGATGATGGTGGCCGTGTCCTCTCCCGCCGGATTGCTCACCCGGATCCCGTACGTGGCCTCGTCCGCCCGCTCCGCGCTCTCGATGACGAAGCTGCAGAGCCCCGGGCGCTCCTCCAGGTGAACGCGGCCCTCGCGGGCCGTGAACGCCTGTGACGTCAGCGTGACGTCAGCACGGGCCCAAGGAGGGCGTGGGACTCAATGGGGCACAATGGGACTCAACGGCACTCAATGGGACTCAATGGGACCCAGTGGGACTCAATGGAAGTCAATGGGACTCAATGGGACTCAATGGGACCCAGTGGGACTCAATGGAAGTCAATGGCACTCAATGGAAGTCAATGGGACCCAGTGGGACCCAATGGGGGAAGTCAATGGGACCCAATGGGACTCAATGGGGCTCAATGGGGCACAATGGGACTCAATGGGGCACAATGGGACTCAACAGCACTCAATGGGACTCAATGGGACCCAGTGGGACTTAATGGAAGTCAATGGGACCCAATGGGACTCAATGGGGCTCAATGGGGCACAATGGGACTCAACGGCACTCAATGGGACTCAACGGCACTCAATGGGACTCAATGGGACCCAGTGGGACTCAATGGAAGTCAATGGCACTCAATGGGACTCAGTGGGACCCAATGGGACTCAACGGAAGTCAATGGGACCCAATGGGACTCAATGGGGCTCAATGGGGCACAATGGGACTCAACGGCACTCAATGGGACTCAATGGGACCCAGTGGGACTCAATGGAAGTCAATGGCACTCAATGGAAGTCAATGGGACCCAGTGGGACCCAATGGGACTCAATGGAAGTCAATGGGACCCAATGGGGCACAATGGGACTCAACGGCACTCAATGGGACTCAATGGGACTCAATGGGACTCAATGGGACTCAATGGGGCACAATGGGACTCAACGGCACTCAATGGGACTCAATGGGACCCAGTGGGACTCAATGGAAGTCAATGGCACTCAATGGAAGTCAATGGGACCCAGTGGGACCCAATGGGACTCAATGGAAGTCAATGGGACCCAATGGGACTCAATGGGGCTCAATGGGGCACAATGGGACTCAACGGCACTCAATGGGACTCAATGGGACCCAGTGGGACTCAATGGAAGCCAATGGCACTCAATGGAAGTCAATGGGACCCAGTGGGACCCAATGGGACTCAATGGAAGTCAATGGGGCTCAATGGGGCACAATGGGACTCAACGGGACCCAGTGGGACTCAATGGAAGTCAATGGGACCCAATGGGACTCAATGGGGCTCAATGGGGCACAATGGGACTCAACGGCACTCAATGGGACTCAATGGGACCCAGTGGGACTCAATGGGGCACAATGGGACTCAACGGGACCCAGTGGGACTCAATGGAAGTCAATGGGACTCAATGGAAGTCAATGGGACCCAATGGGACTCAATGGAAGTCAATGGGATTCAATGGGACTCAATGGAAGTCAATGGGACTCAATGGAACTCAATGGGACCCAATGGGAGTCAATGGAACTCAATGGGACACAATGGGACCCAATGGGAATCAGTGGGGCTCAACGGAACCCAATGGGACTCAATGGTACTCAATGGCACCCAATGGGACTCAATGGCACCCAATGGGACGCAATGGCACCCAATGGGACGCAATGGGAATCAATGGGACTCAATGGCACCCAATGGGACTCAGTGGAACTCAATGGGACCCAATGGGGCTCAATGGAACTCAATGGGACCCAATGAGACTCAGTGGAACTCAATGGAACCCAATGGGACCCAATGGGACCCAATGGGACTCAATGGAACTCAATGGGACCCAATGGGACTCAATGGGAATCAATGGGACTCAATGGCACCCAATGGCACCCAATGGGACTCAGTGGAACTCAATGGGACCCAATGGGACTCAATGGAAGTCAATGGGACCCAATGGAAATCAATGGGGCTCAATGGAACCCAATGGGGCTCAATGGAACTCAACGGAACCCAATGGGGCTCAATGGAACTCAACGGAACCCAATGGGACCCAATGTTGGATGTGGGATGCAGGGTATGGGGTATGAGCTATGGGGTGCGGGCTATGGGGATGTGGGGCAGGGGATGTGGGGCGCGGGGGGGTCCCGCTGTCACCTCCTCGCCCTTGCTCCAGGTGACGACGGGCGCGGGCTCCCCCGAGATGGGCACCTCGAGGCGCAGTTTGTTCCCCGCCACCACCACCACGGTGCTCTCGGCGCCCGCACCCTTGGACATGTCCAGGTGGATCTTGGGGGGCTCTATGGGGCAGGGATGGGGGAGGTTATGGGGCAGGGGTGGGGGGCACGAGCATCACCCCAAAACCCCCTCCCCTCCAGCAGCACCCAAGGGTGCCCCTTACCTTGCTTGGGGACGTATTCCACCTTGATCTCTGTGGGGCACAAGGGTCAATGGCATCGGTACCCCCTAAGTGAGCTCCCCAGACCCATAAGTGACCTCTGCAGACCCAGAAGTGACCTCCGCAGACCCATAAGTGACCTCCCCAGCCCCACAAGTGACGTTCGCAGCCCCATAAGTGACCTCCGCAGACCCAGAAGTGACCTCCGCAGCCCCATAAGTGACGTTCACAGCCCCATAAGTGACGCTCGCAGCCCCATAAGTGACCTCCGCAGCCCCATAAGTGACCTCCCCAGCCCCATAAGTGACCTCCGCAGCCCCATAAGTGATGTTCGCAGCCCCATAAGTGACCTCCACAGCCCCATAAGTGACCTCCCCAGCCCCGTAAGTGACCTCTGCAGACCCAGAAGTGACCTCCGCAGCCCCATAAGTGACCTCTGCAGACCCAGAAGTGACCTCCCCAGCCCCGTAAGTGACCTCTGCAGACCCAGAAGTGACCTCCCCAGCCCCAGAACTGACCTCCACAGCCCCATAAGTGACCTCCGCAGCCCCATAAGTGACCTCCGCAGCCCCATAAGTGACCTCCGCAGCCCCAGAAGTGACCTCCGCAGCCCCATAAGTGACCTCCGCAGCCCCAGAACTGACCTCCACAGCCCCATAAGTGACCTCCACAGCCCCATAAGCGACCTCCCCAATCCCGTAAGTAACCCCCAGCCCCATAAGTGAACTCTCCAGCCCCAGAAGTGAAACTCCCCCAGCCCCATAAGTGACCCCCAGCCCCAGAAGTGAACCCTCCAGCCCCACAAGTGAAACTCCCCCAGCCCCAGAAGTGACCTCCCCAGTGCCATAAGTGATTTCCCCAGCCCCATAAGCACCCCGCAGCCCCACAAGCACCCCTCAGCCCCATAAGTGACCCCCACATCCCCATAAGCACCCCTAGCCCTATAAGCACCCCAAGCCCCATAAGCACCCTCCATCCCCATAAGTGCACCCCCATCCCCATAAACCCCCCCACCCCATAAGCACCCCCATCCCCATAAGCACCCCAATCCCCATAAGCACCCTCACCCCACAAGCACCCCCAGCCCCATAAGTGCCCTCCCATCCCCATAAGGCCCCCACCCCATAAGCACCCCCAATCCCCATAAGCAACCTCACCCCATAAGCACCCCCAGCCCCATAAGCACCCCCACCCCATAAGCACCTCAATCCCCATAAGCACTCCCATCCCCATAAGCACCCCCCAGCCCCATAAGTGCACCCCCATCCCCATAAGCACCCCAATCCCCATAAGCACCCCCATCCCCATAAGCACCCCAATCCCCATAAGCACCCCCACCCCATAAGCACCCCAATCCCCATAAGCCCCCCACCCCATAAGCGCCCCCATCCCCATAAGCACCCCCACCCCATAAGCACCCTCACCCCACAAGGACCCCCAGCCCCATAAGTGCCCTCCCATCCCCATAAGGCCCCCACCCCATAAGCACCCCCAATCCCCATAAGCACCCTCACCCCATAAGCACCCCCAGCCCCATAAGTGCCCTCCCATCCCCATAAGCCCCCCACCCCATAATCCCATAAGCACCCCACCCCATAAACCCACCCACCCCATAATCCCCCCACCCCATAAGCCCCCCCACCCCATAAGCCCCCCCACCCCACAAGCCCCCCACCCCATAAGCACCCCAATCCCCATAAACCCACCCACCCCATAATCCCCCACCCCATAATCCCCCCACCCCATAATCCCCTCACCCCATAAGCACCCCAATCCCCATAAACCCACCCACCCCATAATCCCCCACCCCATAAGCACCCCCAGCCCCACAATCCTCCCCCACCCCACAAGTGCCCCATAGCGCCCCATAGCGCCCCATAGCGCCCCATAGGCTCACCCAGGAAGTTGAGCTTGGCCGATAGGGTGAGCGCGAAGCCGTCGGGCACGAAGGTGTAATCGCCCTCGTCCTCGGGCCGCACGTCATCGATCACCAGCGAGTGGATCCTGAGCACCCATGGGTGGTGGTGGTGGGGGGGGGTCAGCACCCAGCACCCAGCACCCACCCCGGCGGGGCGCCCCCAAGCCAGGACCCCCATGGGTGCCTGAGACCCACATTGGGGCCTCCAAGACCCCATTGATGGCTCCATCGCTCCTAAGAGCTCCATTGAGGAACTCAAGACCCCATTGATGCCCCCAAGACCCCATTGATACCTCCAAGACCCCATTGATTCCTCCAAGACCCCATTGATACCCCCAAGACCCCATTGATGACCTCCACACCCCATTGATTCCTCCAAGACCCCATTGATACCTCCAAGACCCCATTGATGCCCCCAAGACCCCATTGATGACCTCCAGACCCCCATTGATGCCTCCAAGACCCCATTGATGCCTCCAAGCCCCCACTGATACCCACAAGACCCCATTGATGCCCACAAGACCCCATTGATGCCCACAAGACCCCATTGATTCCTCCAGACCCCATTGATTCCTCCAGACCCCATTGATTCCTCCAAGACCCCATTGATTCCTCCAAGACCCCATTGATGCCTCCAAGACCCCATTGATGCCTCCAAGACCCCATTGATGCCCACAAGACCCATTGATGCCCACAAGACCCCATTGATGCCCACAAGACCCCATTGATTCCTCCAAGACCCCATTGATGCCCCCAAGACCCCATTGATGAACTCAAGACCCCATCGATGCCCACAAGACCCCATTGATACCCCCAAGACCCCATTGATGCCCCCAAGACCCCATTGATGACCCCAAGACCCCATTGATGACCTCCAGACCCCCATTGACGCCTCCAAGACCCCATTGATGCCTCCAAGCCCCCACTGATACCCACAAGACCCCATTGATGCCCACAAGACCCCATTGATTCCTCCAGACCCCATTGATTCCTCCAGACCCCATTGATTCCTCCAAGACCCCATTGATTCCTCCAAGACCCCACTGATGCCCTCAAGACCCCATTAATGACCGCCAGACCCCATTGATCCCCCCAAGACCCCATTGATACCCCCAAGACCCCATTGATGCCCCCAAGACCCCATTGATGCCCCCAAGACCCCATTGATTCCTCCAAGACCCCATTGATGCCCCCAAGACCCCATTGATGCCCCCAAGACCCCATTGGTACTTCCAAGCCCCCATTGATGCCACCAAGACCCACACTGGGGCCTCCAAGTCCCCAGCGATGGCTCCATCGTTCCTAAGAGCTCCATTGAGGAACTCAAGACTCCATTGATGCCCACAAGACCCCATTGATTCCTCCAAGCCCCCATTGATGCCCCCAAGACCCCATTGATGCCCCCAAGACCCCATTGATCCCCCCAAGACCCCATTGATACCCCCAAGACCCCATTGATGCCTCCAAGACCTCATTGATGACCCCAAGACCCCATTGATTCCTCCAAGACCCCATTGATGACCTCAAGACCCCATTGATGCCCACAAGACCCCATTGATGCCCACAAGACCCCACTGAAACCTCCAAGACCCCATTGATGCCTCCAAGACCCCATTGATGCCCTCAAGACCCCATTGATTCCTCCAAGACCCCATTGATGCCCCCAAGACCCCACTGATGCCCCCAAGACCCCACTGATGCCCCCAAGACCCCATTGATGCCTCCAAGACCCCATTGATTCCTCCAAGACCCCATTGATCCCCCCAAGACCCACACTGGGGCCTCCAAGACCCCATCGATGGCTCCATCGCTCCTAAGAGCTCCATTGATGACCTCAAGACCCCATTGATGCCTCCAAGACCCCATTGATACCTCCAAGACCCCACTGATGCCTCCAAGACCCCATTGATGCTTCCAAGACCCCATTGATGACCGCCAGACCCCATTGATCCCCCCAAGACCCCATTGATGCCTCCAGACCCCATTGATGCCTCCAAAACCCCATTGATGCCCCCAAAACCCCATTGATTCCTCCAGACCCCATTGATTCCTCCAAGACCCCATTGATGCCTCCAGACCCCATTGATGCCTCCAAAACCCCATTGATGCCCCCAAAACCCCATTGATTCCTCCAGACCCCATTGATTCCTCCAAGACCCCATTGATGCCTCCAGACCCCATTGATGCCTCCAAAACCCCATTGATGCCCCCAAAACCCCATTGATTCCTCCAGACCCCATTGATACCTCCAAGACCCCATTGATGCCCCCAAGACCCCACTGATGCCCCCAAGACCCCATTGATGCTTCCAAGACCCCATTGATCCCTCCAAGACCCCATTGATCCCCCCAAGACCCCACTGATACCCCCAAGACCCCATTGATGCCCCCAAGACCCCATTGATGCCCCCAAGACCCCATTGATACCCCCAAGCCCCACATTGATTCCCCTATCCCCCCCCTCCAGCCCCACCGCTGCCCCACAGCCGCCACACCTCCGCCCCACCGCTGCCCCACCACCACCCCACCACCGCCCCACTGCTGCCCCACAGCCGCCCCACCGCCGCCCCACTGCCACCCCACCGCCGCCCCACATTGATACCCCCAAGCCCCACATTGATTCCCCTATCCCCCCCTTCCAGCCCCACGCCTGCCCCACATCTGCCCCACATCCGCCCCATGGGCGCCCCACATCCGCCCCACAGCTGCCCCACCACTGCCCCACATCCGCACCACCACCGCCCCACCTCCGCCCCACATCTGCCCCATGGCCGCCCCACATCTGCCCCACCACCGCCCCACCTCCGCCCCACATCCGCCCCACCTCCTCCCCACATCCGCCCCACCTCCACCCCACCACCACCCCACATTCGCCCCATGGCCGCCCCACATCCGCCCCACCTCCGCCCTACATCCGCCCCATGGCTGCCCCACCTCCGCCCCACCTCCGCCCCACCGCTGCCCCACCTCCGCCCCACATCCGCCCCACATCCGCCCCACCTCCGCCCCACCTCCGCCCCACATCCGCCCCACCTCCGCCCCACCTCCGCCCCACATCCGCCCCACCTCCGCCCCACATCCGCCCCACATCCGCCCCACATCCGCCCCACATCCGCCCCACATCCACCCCACCTCCGCCCCACATCCGCCCCACCTCCGCCCCACCTCCGCCCCACATCCGCCCCACATCCGCCCCACATCCGCCCCACATCCGCCCCACATCCGCCCCACATCCACCCCACATCCGCCCCACATCCGCCCCACATCCGCCCCATGGCTGCCCCACGGCCGCCCCCCGGCCCCCACCTGCCGCTGTGGCTGATGTGGATCCTCTTGCTCGGCTTCACCTCGACGCCGTTCTTGAACCAGCGCCCGGTGACGCGCTCGTCCGACACCTCGCACCTGAAGCGCGCCTGCTCCGAGGCCTGCACCGTGAGGTCCGCCATGGCCTGCAGCACCTCCAGCTGCTTCTCTGGGGGCAGCGACACACGCGCCATCAGTGGGGCAGCGACCCACACATGGGGGGCAGAGACACGCGATCAGTGGGGCAGGGACACACACATGGGGGGCAGAGACACACACATGGGGGGCAGAGACACACACATGGGGGGCAGGGACACACACATGGGGGGCAGCGACACACACGCCATCAGTGGGGCAGAGACCCACACATGGGGGGCAGAGACACACACATGGGGGGCAGAGACACACACATTCAGTGGGGCAGAGACACACACATGGGGGGCAGCGACCCACACGCATTCAGTGGGGCAGAGACACACACGTGATCAGTGGGGCAGGGACACACACGCGATCAGTGGGGCAGAGACACACACGCGATCAGTGGGGCAGAGACACACACACGATCAGTGGGGCAGCGACACACATGTGATCAGTGGGGCAGGGACACACACGCGATCAGTGGGGCAGAGACCCACACGCGATCAGTGGGGCAGGGACACACACGCGATCAGTGGGGCAGGGACACACACGCGATCAGTGGGGCAGGGACACACACGCGATCAGTGGGGCAGGGACACACACATGGGGGGCAGCGACCCACACGCATTCAGTGGGGCAGAGACACACACATGGGGGGCAGCGACCCACACGTGATCAGTGGGGCAGGGACCCACACGCGATCAGGGGGGCAGAGACACACACGCGATCAGTGGGGCAGGGACACACACATGGGGGGCAGAGACACACACGCGATCAGTGGGGCAGGGACCCACACGCGATCAGTGGGGCAGCGACACACACGCGATCAGTGGGGCAGGGACACACACATGGGGGGCAGGGACACACACACCATCAGTGGGGCAGGGACCCACACATGGGGGGCAGAGACACACACATGGGGGGTAGGGACACACACATGGGGGGCAGCGACCCACGCGCCATCAGTGGGGCAGCGACCCACACATAGGGGGCAGGGACACACACATGGGGGGCAGAGACACACACATGGGGGGCAGGGACACACACATGGGGGGCAGGGACACGCGATCAGTGGGGCAGCGACACACACGCGATCAGTGGGGCAGGGACACACACATGGGGGGCAGAGACACACACGCCATCAGTGGGGCAGCGACCCACACGCGATCAGTGGGGCAGGGACCCACACGCGATCAGTGGGGCAGCGACCCACACGCGATCAGTGGGGCAGCGACACACACGCGATCAGTGGGGCAGGGACACACACGCGATCAGTGGGGCAGGGACACACACGCGATCAGTGGGGCAGGGACACACACGTGATCAGTGGGGCAGCGACCCACACGCGATCAGTGGGGCAGGGACACACACGCGATCAGTGGGGCAGCGACACACGCGATCAGTGGGGCAGGGACACTCACATGGGGGGCAGAGACACACACGCGATCAGTGGGGCAGAGACCCACGCATCGCAATGGGGGCAGAGACCCACACATAAAACCTCCTGGAGACCCCATGGAACCTCCTGGAGACCCCATAAAACCTCATGGAGACCCCATAAGACCTCATGGAGACCCCATAAAACCTCATGGAGACCCCATAAGACACACACATGGGACCCCCTGGAGACCCCATAAAACCTCCTGGAGACCCCATAAAACCTCATGAAGACCCCATAAGACCTCCTGGAGACCCCATAAGACCTCATGGAGACCCTATGGAGACCCCATGGGACCTCCTGGAGACCCCATGGAACCTCCTGGAGACCCCATAAGACCTCATGGAGACCCTATGGAGACCCCATAAGACCTCATGAAGACCCCATAAGCCCTCATGAAGACCCCATGGGACCCCCTGGAGACCCCATGGGACCTCCTGGAGACCCCATGGGACCCCCTGGAGACCCCATAAAACCTCCTGAAGACCCCATAAAACCTCATGAAGACCCCATAAGACCTCATGGAGACCCCATAAGACCTCATGGAGACCCCATAAAACCTCATGAAGACCCCATAAGACCTCATGGAGACCCCATGGAACCTCCTGGAGACCCCACAAAACCTCATGAAGACCCCATGGGACCTCCTGGAGACCCCATAAGACCTCCTGGAGACCCCATGGGACCCCCTGGAGACCCCACAAAACCTCATGGAGACCCCATAAAACCTCATGGAGACCCCATAAAACCTCATGAAGACCCCATAAAACCTCATGGAGACCCCATAAAACCTCCTGGAAACCCCATGGGACCCCCTGGAGACCCCATAAAACCTCCTGAAGACCCCATAAAACCTCATGAAGACCCCATAAAACCTCATGGAGACCCCATAAAACCTCATGGAGACCCCATAAGACCTCATGGAGACCCCATAAAACCTCATGGAGACCCCATAAAACCTCCTGGAGACCCCATGGGACCCCCTGGAGACCCCATAAAACCTCATGGAGACCCCATAAAACCTCCTGGAGACCCCATAAAACCTCCTGGAGACCCCATAAGACCTCATGGAGACCCTATGGAGACCCCATAAAACCTCCCGAAGACCCCGTAAAACCTCCTGAAGACCCCATAAGACCTCATGGAGACCCCATGGGACCTCCTGGAGACCCCATAAGACCTCATGGAGACCCCATGGAACCTCCTGGAGACCCCATAAGACCTCATGGAGACCCTATGGAGACCCCCTGGGACCCCCTGGAGACCCCCTGGAACCTCCTGGGTACCTTCCACGATGACGTCGGCCTCGCTCTCGCCGCCGTTGGTGCGGATCTTGTAGCGGCCGGCGTCCTCCTTGGTGGCCTCGTTGATGATGAGGAACTGCTTGCGCCCGTCCTTCTTGAAGCGGTACTTGAAGGTCTCCTCCCGCGTGAGCTCCACCCCGTCCTTGAGCCTATGGGGCAGGGTGTGGGGCAGGGTG